GGGATCACAGGCTGAGCCACCGAGCCCGGCTAGCCCCACCCCTTTTAACTGTGTGACTCTGGTCAACTTGCTTAGCCTCTCTGGGGTTCGGTGTCCTCATCCTCCACTTGAGGATGATGCTGCAGTGTCACTCGATGGGTCCTTGGGAGAATTTGGTGAGATCTGTGCATGGCAAGTGTTCAGCATTTGGATTCCTTCATTATGTTTCCACGTCTCATTCTCTCTGGAGATGCCAGGGTACCCACACTGGTTGCTACATCTGACCCGGCACCTGCCCTGACCTGCCCTGCCCAGGGTGAGGGTGGCGGGGGTTCTGTGACTTTAGGCTCATGACTGTTGTGGTCCTCCTGGCTGGGAGTTTAGCCTGGGACTGTCCCAAGGATGCTTGTCCACGATGGCCCCGTCGCTGTGCCCCTTGTGCTGGTGAGGCAGGCCTGGAGTCCTGTTCATACCCCCACCACTTCCCATGCCTCATCTATCCCCAGGACCACCTGTTTCATTTCCCCTCTGGCCCACTCTACACCCCCCATCTCCTCCTCCCTTCTCCCCCAGAACTGAGCTGTTCAGGCTCTTCGGTTGCAGAAAACTAAAGTCAACTCCAGCTTGCTTAAACCAAAAAGATATTTATTGGGTCACTCCTGAGACCTTCCACAACCAAAGGAGCAGCTGGTCATGCTGCCTTGGGAGAAGCCAGGCTAGGCAGCTGCATTCATCAGGTGCCTGGTAACCCAAGGAGCTTCCCATCCATCTCCTGCCATCCTCCTTGGCCATCCAAGGTTAGCATGGCTCTCAGGGACACATGTTGCAGGAGTGGCCTGTGATGTTTGCCCTGTGGTGCTCTGGCTTCGTAGGCCTTCAGCCTTCTTCTGTGTGGGCACAAAGTGTCACCTCAAAGGCACAAGGTTCCCGGCCTTGGGGAGGATTGCAGTGGGTTGGAAACAGAACATTCCAGAGGGTTTAGCCATTCCTTTCCCACAGACCTGGTCACCGACTTGGACTTCTCTCCCTTTGATGACTTCCTCCTGGCTACAGGCTCGGCCGACAGGATGGTGAGTGGAACCCGTTGAAAGGGCTGCTCGATGTTCCTTCCCGAGTCTGGGACCTTCTGAGCCCCCACCTCCTCCCTGTGGGGATCTGCTCCCTCCTAGCCCAGACCCTTCTACTCCAGGGGCCTTGGTCCCTCTGCTGGTGTCCAAGCCTGGGACATCCCAGACCATCTAAGTTCTGGGGCCCACACCAACTCCTGAGGACTTGCCTGGAGCCATGGTCATGACCTGTTCTGGTGCTGCATGCCTGCCTGGGGGCAGCAGGTGGGTGGCTCAGGAGGCCCGGAGGAGTCCACAGAGCCCCTGCCCCTCTCATGTCTTCCCCAGCCTGTAACCACACCCTGTGGTCCTTGTGTTGGGTCTCCCTCTCTCCATCTTGTGACACGTGACACAGGATATGCAGCCTCTGGTCCACACAGCCAAGGTGGCAGGGGTGTCCCATGACAGGCGGGGCCGTTTTCCTTGTGGAGTTGCCTTGTTCCAATGCTGGACCTCATTGGGGTCAAGGCAGCCCTGGGCAAGGCTGGCTGGAGGCAACAAGGCCCCCAAGCCCCAGGCTCACAGATTTGATCTTTCCTGCAGGTGAAACTCTGGCGACTGCCCACCCTTGGCCAGGCCCTGCCCTCAGTGCCTGGGGTGATGCTGGGCCCTGAGGACCTCCCGGTGGAGGTGCTGCAGTTCCACCCCACATCGGATGGTGTTCTGGTGAGCGCGGCAGGCACAGCCGTGAAGGTCTGGGACGCGACCAAGCAGCAGCCCCTGACAGGTACAGACCACTCCATCCTGCTCTTCCCTGGACAGCCCCCCTCTGGCCAGCATGTCGTTTCTTTGTTGGCATTTTTGTAATGTACACTTAAAACTATGCATCAGAGTTCTGCATACTAGTATAAAAAGTCAAATTCACATAATAAAATTATAGACTTATAATACATACCCATGCCTCTCCTCTCCCCATAGGCATCTGTTTTCACCTCTCTTAGCTATTTGTTTTTCCTGTTGTTTTCCTCCTTTTCTTTTCTCTTTTTTTTTTTTGAGTCAGAGTCTCACTTTGTAACCTAGGCTGCTGGCGTGCAGTGGCATGAGCACTGCAACTGAAGCCTCGACCTGCTAGACTCAGGCGATCTTTCCGCCTCAGTCTTCCAAGTAGCCAGAACTACAGGATTCCAGCTCACATCTGGTTAATTCACCACCACACCTGGTTAATTTTTTTGTTTTTATTTATTGTAGAGATGAGGTCTCACCAAGTTGCCCAGGTTGGTCTCAAACCCCAGGGCTCTGACAGTCCTCTCGCCTTGGCCTCCCAAAATGCTGGGAGGCCATCCATGCCCAGCCTCCTCCATTTTTGTAAGTAACTTTCTTACACTGTTTTTGTTTTTGTTTTGTTTTTTAATTTTTTGAGACAAGGTCTTACTTCATTGCCCAGACTGGAGCATAGTGGCATGATCATAGCTCACTGCAGCCTTGAACTTCTGGGTTCAGGTGATCCTTCTGCCTTAGTCTCTCAAGTTACTGGGAGTACAGGCACCACCACACTATTATTTCTTGAAATTGTTTTCAATTTTGAAAACAAACCCATGACTTTCCACCCCGGAGATGAGGACATTGCTCTCCTAGAACCGGCCCCCTGGCCCACGTGCATGCTTCTACTTCCACTTCCCCCATCCTCCCTAGATTATAGATCCCTCAGGGGTTGAATGATGGTGGCTGTGCACAGGTGACTTGCTGCTGAGCCTTATGATGATATCGCACAGACTTTTCTGCCAAGGATCCTCCTGTCAATCCCTGTTGTAGTGGTAAAGACACAGAAATTCAGAGAGTTGAGGGATACCTGTCCTAGAGGACTGTGCAGAGTGTCTGGGGCAGATAAGCTCACCCTCTGAGCTGTGCCATGCTGACTAAGTGCTGTCAACAGTGTAACCGAGTGTCCTAGGGATGCTCTCCTGACCCCACCAGTTACTGAGAATTCAGCCAGTGTCCACTGGGGGAGTTGTCTTGTGCCATGGATGATGGGAATATGAAATATAAGGTACAGATCTGTCCCAGAATAGTTTTGGGGAGGCTTAGGAGCCCACTTAACCCTTCAAGCAGAGGTGAAGGCCACCTTCTGTCTGTCACTAGGGAGTAACCTCAGCTGTGACTACCATTTCTCAAGCTCTTCTTGTGTGCCCAGCACCTTGATGAGGGTGTCACAACTACTCAGCAGATTCTTCCTCACAGCAGCCCCGTTGGGAGGTATCATTGTTCCCATGGTGCAGATGAGGCTCAGGAGGTTAAAAAACTTGGCCAAGGCCACAGTGCAAATAGGTAGCAGAGCTGGCATTAATCCCAGGGGAGTAAACCTTAGTGCAGTGGCTATTTATTGCTTCAGAACAAATTACCCCCAAAACATAGAGACTTAAAAAACAACTATAAACATTTACTTTATAGTTTCTAAAGTACAGGAATGTGGGATTGTCTTAGCCAGGTGGTTCTGGCTCCGGGTCTCTCCTGGGGTTGCATTCATCTAAAGGCTCAACTGGGGCTGGAAGCTCGGCTTCCAACATAATCCCCCCATGAGTTGCCAACTGTGGCAAGAGTCCTCAGTCCTTTCCATGTGGCCTCTCCATGACTGGCTGAGCACCTTCCCACACGGTGGTTGCTTCCCTGCAGTGGGCAGTCCAAGACAGAGCACAGAGGAAGCTGCAGTGCATTGTATGACCCAGCTTTAGAAGTCACATGGAGTCCCTTTCACCAGATTCCCCTTGTTAGAAGTACGTCCTCTCACACCCAAGAGGAAGGCAGTTAGGGTCCACATCTTGAAGAAAGGTGGGTTAGTTTCCTAGGGCTGTTGTAACGAAGAACTGTAAACTGAGTAGCTAAAAATGACAGACATTTATTATCTCCCAGCACTGGAGCCTAGAAGTTCGAGATCAAGACTTCTGCAGGGCTAGCATCTTCCAAGGTTGGGGGAGGCTCTGTTCATGCCTCTCTCCTGGCTTCTGCAGCCCCGGGTATTGTTTGGCTGTTGTAGATAGCCGTCTTCTCCTGTGTCTCCACATTATCTTCCCGCTACGCACGTCCGTCTCTGTGTTTAAATCTCCCTTTCCTATAAGTATAATCATACTAGATTAGGGCCGACTCTACTGACCTCATCTTAACTTGATCACCTGCAAAAATTCGATTGTCAAATAAGGTCACATTCACAGGTGCTAGGGGTTAGGACTTCAGTATCTCTTTGGGGGACACAATTCAACCTATCACAGGAGGAGTTTCAAAGGATGTATTTTATTTTATTTTTATTTATTTATGTATTTATTTATTTTTTGAGTTAGAGTCTTACTCTGTCGCCCAGGCTGGAGTGCAGTGACACGGTCTTGGTCACCGCAGCCTCGACCTACTGGGTTCAGGCAATCCTTCCACCTCAGCCGTTCAAGTAGCCAGAACTACTAGTGCACATTACTACACCCAACTAATTTTTTTTTTATTTATTGTTGAGACAAGGTCTCACCATGTTGCCCAAACTCGTCTCGAACCTGTGGGCTCAGGCTATTCTCTCACCTCAGCCTCCCAGAATGCTGGGATTATAGGCTTGAGCCACCGTGCCCAGCCAAAGGATGTATTTTAAACTCTGCATTGGGGGAGGAGAGCAGAGATGGCAGAAGCAGAGGCCCTGAGTGGGAGCGACCCTGTAGGGTGAAGGGTGTGTTGGGGCATGACCGGAAGTGAGCCTGGGAGGGAGGTGAGAGCCAGGCTGGAAGGAGTCCCAGAGGTTGCTGAGTAGAGAAACAACTCTTTGAGGGAGGGATGAAGGGAGAGTCCGTGGGTGCAGGAGCAGGATGCCTGGAAGGAGCTGCTTCCTTTCCTCTCTCAGACTGAAAGGGACCCCCGTAGCTGCCACCTTTGCCCCAGGTGTTACCCTAAGCCGGGCTCGCCTGTGCCTGCCTTTCTGGTGCCCTCTTTGCCTGGGGCCTGACCTTGGCTGATTCTTTGCAGAACTGGCAACCCATGGGGACCTGGTGCAGAGTGCCATCTGGAGCCGGGATGGAGTCCTCGTGGGTACGGCATGCAAGGTGAGTGGGTGGGGGCACCTGTGGGGTTCCTCACTGGCCTCCTAGGCTGTGCCTTACAAGCTTGCTGTTTAGGGGGCAGAAGAGCACTGAGGTAGGATGGACATCTGTGAGTCCTGCCCCCAGATGCCCTGACACCTGTGCCTGAAATCCCCTGCCCACCTGGATCCTCCTGAAAGATGAGAGCCCAACACTGCCCCATGCTGGTCCCTGGTTTGTGCTATTCTGTCCCCATCCTCTGCCAGCCTTACCTGACCACCTGTCTGGTTGTCTGAACTACCTTTTTTTCTGTGAGGCTTGTTTTAAATGGCATCTGGGCCAGGCTCGGTGGCTCAGCCTATAATCCCGCACTTTGGGAAGCTGAGGTGAGTGGATTGCCTGTGCCCGCGGGTTCGAGACCTGCCTGGGCAACTTGGCGAGACCTCATCTCTACAATAAAAATAAAAAATTAGCCGGGCATGGTGGCGCACGCCTGTAGTTCTGGCTACTTGGAAGACTGAGGCGGAAGGATCAACAGAGCCCAGCAGGTCGAGGCTGCCATGGCCAGAAATGTGCTATTACATTCCAGTCTGGGCGACAGAGTGAGACTCCAACTCAAAAAAAAAAAAAAAAAAAGAAAGAGGGACATGAGCTGGGCTTGGTGGCTCCATCTGTAATCCCGCACTTTGGGAGGCTCCAACTCAAAAAAAAAAAAAAGAAAGCCAGAGAGGGGAAGGTGGCACTGTGAGGTGAGCAGATTTGCATTTGGAACCACATGGACAGAGCATGGCATTGTGGGCAGTGCCTTCATGTGGACGTGGAATGGTCTATGGGGAGGTGAGGGCTGTCTTCAGCAAGGACATGGTGGGAGACAGGTGATGGACAAGGGACCTCTGGGAGGAGGGAGCCCAGTGTTGGTGGGGGGTTGGTGGGGGGTGTGAGGCTGGCAGGTCACAATGCAGGAGAGGCCACCAAGACAGGAAACTCAAGTTGGGGAGTACTGCAGGGGTATCTCATATGAGAGTTCTTAGCAACTGGGAGCGTTGAGATGCGGTACCTGGAGATGTCAGTTGAGTCCGGGCCTGGGGCTGATCTGAACAGTGTCCGGGCTGAAGGTGGGAAGGCGGGTGTTTGTGTGGATTTGCCAATTGCAGCGGTGAGAAGAGCCATGGAGACGGAGGGGCACAGGCCTGCAAGGGAGAAGATGGCGGTGGGGGGACCAAGACAGGGCTGGGGCCCAGGGCCCAGGCTAGAGGGTTTCTCCAGGGAGGTGGCAATGAGTCTCCAAAGTCCTGGATTTGGGGATATGGGGCCACTGGGAATGAGGATGGTCGTCAGGACCTTTTTGGTGGTGTGCTGGGCCTGAAGACACATGAAGAGTGGGTGGGAGGCTAGGGAATGGAGCTGGGGGGTAGGAGACACACGAGCTGGCAGAAAGGAAAGGTGGACCAGACCTGAGCATCCTCATGGCTCCGCATACTTGGTGGGATCCCAACCTTCTTTTCTGCTTCTTTTTTTCTTTTTTTGAGTTGGAGTCTCACTCTGTTGCCCAGACTGGAATGCAGTGGCACGCTCCCGGCCACCGCAGCCTCGACCTGCTGGGCTCCGGCGATCCTTCCGCCTCAGCCT